GTAATTGTAGTCCATAAATTTCTGATTAAAACGAGGCATCTCCCAGCTCTACACGACCTTTCTTTGCAAAGTTATAGAGTTTACAAGAAAAGCCCTAAATTCATTTTTCGTTTTTCTTTCCGTAGCTCTGAGGTGACAATGAACATTTAGGGCTTTTTGTGTAAATTCTATAACTTTGCAAAGAAAGGTCGTGTAGAGCTAGGAGATGTCTCGTTTTAATCAGAAATTTATGGACTACAATTATGCCTCGTTAAGGAAGGTTTTGATTGCTCATCAGAGTTTCTCAAAAACTGGTTTTTCAGAAAATTCTTGCACGTAGTATACTACGTGCAAGAATTTTCATTTCAGGTAAATGATAGAGAGACCGGGCTGTTCTGATTTCTGGTGCTTAACAGAACTTTAAAGTCCGAAAAATCCCTTATTTCTATAAAAAACAGATGGATAATTTAAAAATCGGACTCTATCAACTCCTACCTATAAGTGTTATCTATAAAAACAAAGTAAAAATTTTCTTTCTCCGATGTACAGTTATCGAGAATTCCTGCACGCGGCGAAAGCGCTGAAGCTAAAAAAGTAAAATAAGTTTTGATTTTGTTAAATGCATTTTTCTTAAAAACTCTTTGAGCGTTCGATAATTTGTTGATATTTTGCTAGAGTTTATCGGTCATGGTGGATCTAATGAACATGTGTGACACATGCCTGTGCTTATGCAATACCAGTGCAAAACAGTCATTTTTTTTTGCTATGGAAAACTCGCTCAAAATCTACGAAAAACCTATCCTATCGACACAAAAATTATGCCATTAGAAAATAGACACTGTAAGGCTATCCAAGCATGGATAGCCTTAAACAACTATGTTCAAGAAGGAAAGAAATTCGTACTTATATTTTACACGTAAAAACAAAACGATGATTCAAGAATTTCCAAAGTATTGATACAAGAAGTCAAGAGATTGCAAGATGTCTAAGGTTGCAAGTGCAGTTTTTTTGCCTATTTTGACCCGAAAAAAGAACTTTTTTCAAACAAATTATACACGGTTAGAATCAGCACATCGCGGTGCATCTATCCATGTAATTAAATCGACAACAGATAAAGTGCTCGAATTTTGAATTTCCGGAACCTTTCTATAATGGAATATTTTTCCACTTGTATTCTGATAGAATAAAGCTTATACCAAAGTGCTCCGAGATGTTCTTAGAATGCGAATGTTGTCAATTTTTCAAAAAAAGGGCTAATGATGAAATTCAAAGTTTCGGATTCAAACGTCTAGAATAACGGATTGTTCATCGAAGCTTATAAAATGGAAATAGTGCGATACTGTAATACCCCTTCTTCTTTAAATCAAACGTTATACAATTTTCAATTGGTAGTGGTCATAGTAGTAAAAAGCATCTACATACAGACAGAAACGAATATGCATTACAACGAATAAATAAAAATTGTGCTCATCATTGGCAATGTATAAGGTAAGTTCATCATTACAAGAAATACTATTTCAGTCAATCATTAAGGGTTGTTTCAGATCCTGGTTTCGATTTGTGCATAGCCAAAACAGCATTAACTATTGATGAAATAGAGTTTGAAAATTTTTCTACCTAGAAAAACTTGCCGAGTCAAACTTTAAATTTGCCTGAATTACGGTTTTGCGTACAATATATATGTTCTTTCTGTTATGTGACTATGATAGTTCTACATTGATATTGTTATTTTCAGCCAGATTAAGCAATACTGTACGCAGTTTTCTTTCCAATTCAATCGCCAATATTCACCGGTGAATAAATTCACCAATACGAATTTTCATGGCTTTCTTTGCTCGAAATGTTTGATTAAAGTGCACTTGATTACAAATTAGAAGTGTAGAAGACTAGTGACATAAACTTATCACAATTCATATCAAACAATTGAATTTTATAAATTTTGAAATCATATGAGTTGAAATTTTGTGACTTTTTAAGAACTATGTCTTAGTGCATCTGAAGTGCTACTATCCATTTCAAATTAAGATGCGACTAAAAACCCAAAATTGCGTAGAAATGTTTGTGTTTCGAATAAATTCTAAAAAATCTGCTGAAAACGTATATTAGATAAAATTTTGATTATAAGCTTTATTTAGTCAGAATACAAGTGGAAAAATATTCTATTTTAGTATTCTAAACTAAAACTACTCGAAAAATTTGTGTATAGTTTTATGAAAAGTACTGAGACTACAACGGTAATTTCCTATGCAAAATTTCGTGGATGAGTCACTGCTGTCTATGTTTGTTTTAGCAAAGGTTCTGACTGAGTGATTTGCGAATAATGTTTTTATCCAAGATCAAAACATTCGTAATTCATTCATAATGGATCTAAAGCACTTTGAAACATTAAAATAAATTTTATTTTATGTACTCAATCTGATTCTGCCCTCACAACTACTGAAAATTATTCTCTCATTTATACAAATCTCTAGAAAATCATTTCAAAACTATACTGATTTCTATTGATTTTAAAGATTTCTATTTAATTCTAAGATATGACAGTGATAAAGTATAATTGATCTTGATTTTCTGAAGTTGTTGTTTGGATCAATTTTGACTAAGTTATGAATTTTATTAATTTTCCTTGAAAATAACCAAAACTAGTTTATTTCACTTAAAAATAGTTTATGACTGGAGACGAAACATTACCACAAGATTGAGTATAGTCAATAATCTATGTCTGAATTAGTTTTTGAGGCTACTCTATGTGGTAGCAGAGTAGTCCTGAGGTCGCTGGAAACCCGTTATCACAGCTAAATGATGTGACAGAAATAGATTTACATACATCTCTTGTCGATGTATAGATAGTCTAAAAACTTTAGACTATCTATACATCGACATGGTCAGATAACTCTGCTACCGGAGTGAAATTCCGTGAGGAAATTTTGACATTTTGCTGTGTTTATATTGTTTTACCGACGGCACGTGCAGTGCTGCATGTTAAACGTATGTCCCAAAATGAAACGTCAGAAGGGCGTTTTGTATTTTCCTTTTAGTTTTAAACAGAGAAACTTACAGAGCCTCGAACTGCCTCATTTTGTAGAGAAACGTTTGCTTTACAATTCTAGACGTTCGTCAAGATCGTATAGAAATCTCGCTAGAGAAAATATTTTTAAATATCTTTTCGTTATAAACGGATACTCCAAACTTTTGTCTATCGAATGTCGAAAACTGTAACTCTAAATATTTTTCATTTGTGAGGTATATGAAAAAGAATGAGTGAGATCTCAGTTTGAAATGTACAAAAAATACGATTCTTTAAAAGCATACCTAATCATATCCGATCCGTTCATACAATTCTTTGACCTGAAAATTCGTTCTACTTGAACGATGATGAAAAAAAACAATATTTATTTTACACTGTCAGAAATACATCAATTCTACTTATAGTGTATGACAGTCATAGACTATGATTCTCAGTGGTTAGAGCATAGACACTGAATGTCAAGGTCCTAGGTTCGAATCCTAGTCTGGTCACACATTTTTCCTTGACATATGGCGATCTCGCGGGTGGCGCTGTGTATAACATCTCCCGTGGCCAACGAACCTATGTCAAAACAGAGCAGCACGAGGACGTGCTGGCATCTGGGAGGGAAATGTGTGACGGATAGAGATGTCGACCAGGTAGCTCAGTGGTTAGAGCATAGACACGGAATGTCCAAGTCCTGGGTCGAATCCTAGTCTGGTCACACATTTTTCCTTTACAGTCTCTTGACTCGGTTTATTATAGTGGATTTCATGTCTAACTTGTGTATTGGCAACTATTTTACCATGAATAATATCTAAACTTTTCCTTTCATTTAATGAATAATATCTAAATCTTTCTTTTCACTTAATCAACCTGAATAAAATGAGATATGAATAAGTTATTTTGTATTTAATACATAGAGTAACGTATGTTAAGAAACAAATTGTCTTATTTTATTTTCACGTGAATAAGTAAATGTTTTAGATGTATATTTGTACAAAACATATATATATATCACCAATATTATAGAATTTCTTTTCTTTTTTTAGTAAATCAGTCAAGTGAAATTATGTTTCTTTTCAAAATAAAAAATTATGCATGATTACCCATAATTTCAAGGATACTCTCAGAGATTATAACAATAAAATCCTATATGATTAACAACTTGTTTCAATATGAAAAATTATTTCTATTTTTCTTTTCTTTTCTGTAATATATCATAGTATATATATCTATCTACTATATATACGAAAATTGAAAATAGAGCAAGCATAGTACGATTTAAATAATTTTTAACAACGATCAGGTAAGTAACTGAAAATTTATACATTAATGACTACATATTCATATTTTAGATCACTTTAGATCAACGAAAAATGCATGTCTGTTTGACTCTCTTCTTTTGTGTTATACTTGGCGTAATAGTAATATCAGTGAATGGTCGTCAATTATCCTTGAATAATCCCGATGATGATGATTTGTATTTAACCAATTCAAAAGCTCGCTCATTTTTAGATGGCTTAGATGGAGATGATTTAATGGATTTACAACGACGTGCGTGTGTGGGATGCAAATTTGGTATGCTTCCATGTTGTCATCCAAATAAATGTATTAAAAAAACATTTCGACCAGATGAATGTATGGAAATTAAAACAAATAAATAGAAAGGAAACAATGTTTAATAAAAAGAACTGTAATCCAAGATAGTTTATACGTATAAAATCTCATTTTTCATTTATTATTACTAACTTCTCATTTCGTTCCCTGTTATAGCTATTTTCTTTATCGAATAAATTTTGTCAACTTTTGTTATTCAAACATGGAATATCGTTTACATCTGCGCAATTAAGTTTATTGTAATATATGTCACATTGCACAGCGAATCAAATAGGTATTCATACACCAAGGCGTATACATCGGTTTCGGTTATTAAGGGCCTTCCCCAACCCCTCAGAAATGATGATTTTATATAAAAAAATCAATTTGAAGACAAGCACATGGAGTGGCTATTTTCAGAATTTGCACGCTTTCGGGCCTAAAATTGGTTTTTCTTGATTTTCGAGGAAGTTTTCTAGAAACCTTGAAAACCAGCGTCTTCAGATAATAATTTTTTTCTGGGCACTTAAGCAAGTAAATTTTTTTCAAACAGCTAGATTTGTAGAGCAGACTTTTCTGATCAAAATAAGACGTGTTGCACAACTCTGTGTGATTTTGCGTTCGAAAATTACAAGCATTTTCCTAGATGTTCTAAAATAGACTAACCAATGTACAGCGTTTTCTCTCAAAACAGGTTTTCTGTTCGAATATGCCCAATGTAGGACACTTTTTTTTGAATATACTTCAAGCTAGAGATCTCGAGTTGGTTGGTTTATTTTAAACTAGACACCTAACTGATGTGAGCCGATTTTTGAATTAGGCCTTAGTTTAATAGAAAATCAAGCATCTCTGGAAAACCCGAAAGAATTTTTTGAGTTTTTGAAGATCTTGGACTTCTAGAAAACGAACAAAGACCTAAACCAAAAATCTGCTCCCATCAACCCACGTAGTTAGATGTCTAGTTTAAAATAAAATCAATGCACGATCTCTGGCTTGAAGTATATTCAAAAAAAGTGTCCTATGGTGGAGGGTGATTTTCTGACCGTGGACTCTGGAAAACCCCGGAATAGTAAGAGATAGCGAGGGGAAAAAAATTTATAACCACACTTTAATATGGCAAATATTTGCTGAAAGCGTCAGCAAAATCGGATGCAAGACAAAAAAGTATTTTCTGAGAGGGGCCCTTAATCAAAAATCTATAACAGTTATAACCGAAACTGAAATAACCGAACATTGGAAAAAGTATCATGATATGTTCAGATTTGATTGTTCTTGTTCTACTTTTCAAAATTTGATAAACTGAAAACACAATTATTGATTTGTTGCATAGATAAGAAAATAACTCTAATCAGCAACATTTAGAATTGTTCTCAACAAATAGGACATTTTGCTGATGTTTTGATGGGGAGAGAATTAAACTATATATTTTCGTTTCGTTACTATGTAATATACGCCATGCATTTCTTTCGTTACGCTTTTGTCATTCTTTTAAAGGAATAATTACTGGTTAAACAAGAACAATTACGTTAAACAAGCATAATATAATATTTCTTCCGTTATTCGATGTTCAGTTTAACTGAAATATCGGTTAACTGAACCGATGCATACCTAATTGTGAGTACATTTTCTTTGTAAAGATAGATGTTAGAATAAAATCAGCATTCGAAAGAGCCATGTTATGAAATGAAGATTGTTCAAGAAATTTAAAAAGAAAAATTTAAGAATCATCATCATTATGATTCGATTGCAAACAAACGAGGTTTGCAGGCGACAACAATTCTTGGACCAATTCTTCTTGTTCGCAGCTGCCTTCCTAATTTCATCGTTCACCTCATCATCATCTCGAGTTGCCTGTAAGACACAATTAGAGCCTCTCAAACGCCGTAGGAAAATAGCCAGACTGAAATACTTCTGGAAAGTTATGAAAGTAAGGACGGCTCTTGGACGATTTGGTCTACTCCAACCGATCGACGTACACTGCGAAAAGGAAATTCTCTTATGTTTTCAGTACTCGAATGTAAAAAGGATGTTCTCAATGAAACGTTCTTAGTTAGAACAGTAAAGGAGTAGAACGGTCTTCCTAATTCTGTAGTTTTATCACCCACAGTAAAAAGTTTTGCCATCAACTTAGAACAGCACCTATAGTGTCGACTGCCGATCTTTGTATTTGCTAGCTTATTTTTTATCCTTTATTTTTATACACATTGTATACATTAATTCATATAGGTTGGACACCTCTACAAGAGATGTATTAATTTATGTCGCTTTTGTCGCAATGCTTGTTAAGTTTGTTTTCTCTTTTCTATCTGCATGTAAACTCAACTTTACTAAATAAATAAATAATAATAATAGTCGATCGTTGGAGGCGTGCCATTATTGATCAGCCTTGCGATGTAATCGGGATACGAGCTCTCTACGACATTTTTTCGTGAAACATCGTTCAATTTACGGAAGGCCTTAAGGTTGTCTCTTTCTTGTTTTCCCTTGAGCTCTACTTGTATGGGGCCTTCCATAAATTGAATGCTGTTTCACGAAAAAATGTTGTAGAGAGGTCAGAGGCGTCTTATTTTCTTCAGAAATGTTTTCCCTATACGATGAAGCTATTTGCAAGGCATTTCTAGATGGAACTCGAGGATGCACAAATACCACAGCGAAGCTTCGTTAGGTTTCCTATTAGCACATATTGTAGAGTTTTTAAAGGCACATCGAATGATGTATGAATAATTACAGATCTTTATCTGTCGACGAAACTATAATAATTTTTATCTACCACTTCGGTTAAAATCGAGATGCCTGTCAAGTATGTCCAATACATCTATGAAGGCAAACTTTTGAAACAATGTGTTATAGGTCATTGGGTAGCCCTTTTAATTCTGCATTTTTCTATATAGAAAACATTCTGGGTCTGAGTGTGCTGACAAAAGTAGAATCATTTTTGACTGCCATTTCGGTTAAAATCGAGATATCTGTCAAGTATTTGTCCAGTACATCTATGAAGACTAGTTTTAAATGATGTGCTATATATCATTTTAAAGCCCGTTTAATTACGCATGTTTTCGTGTATAAGATTCTATTAAGAACGTCGAACTTTGGAGAGAAACCTGGTCCTTTACCTGGTTATCTGCGAAGACAATGTCCGATGAAGCGCAGTTGTCGTCATTGCATTGCTTTGAGAATATCATCATATAGTTTAACAAAACTTGCATTTTTGCGTCTAAATGAATTTTCAAATGTATACTATCCACAGTGGGCATTTAGGCGGCGTTTTCTGAAAAAATCGTAGGTGCGAATTTTTTTGTTTTGAATAGTGGTGTATATAGTATAAACAATTCCCTATTTAATGATAAAAAAATTTTTGTTCTAGCTCC